CTCTTTTTCTTTTTTTAAAAAGAGAGAGGTCTCAGTCTGTTAACCTAGAGTACAGAGGTACAATTACAACTCACTGCAGCATTGAACTCCTGGGCTCAGAGTGATCCTCCTGCTTCAGCTGGAATTACTGAAAACTTTATCATGTCCCTGAAATTTCTTTTTTAAAAAATTTTTTTTTATTAAATCATAACTTTGTACATTGATGCATTTATGGGGTTCAGGATACTGCTTCGATATACAATGTGAAATGCTTACATTGAACTAAGTAACACACTCATCACAATTAGACTCGTTTCTTAATAGTTTTGAAATGTACCCTTGCATCAAGCACATTAGGTTAGGTACCCCCAAATACCCTCATGTCCCTGAAATTTCAATAAATAAAACATGTCACATTCAAAATCCATGTATTTTCTCGTTATGTAAAAACTCTATTACTTAAACTGTTTTCACATCCTTTGGTGCTATTGGCATTAATTTAGATAGAAGATGGTTTCTTAACCCAATGTTAAAATTTACACTTATATACTACATGAATGAAATAATTAGAAAACATACAAATCTACCAGACTGTTTTCAGTTCATTATATTTCTTGAATGTATTTTTATGTTACGATAGGACCTACAATGGTGCTAAAACTCTTTATCAGTAAATCACACCCAATTTATGTACTTCTCCTATGTTACTACATTTAAAATAACCAAACACCCAGGTCAATTACTTAAATATTTTTGGGAAACAAACTTAATGAGAGAACTTCAATACAAATGAATAGATATGAAGCAAAACTTCAACACAGTGAAATGATAGTAACAGCAACAGAGATTCCTAAATAGGCCAAGGAGAAAAGAAATGCAGAGTGCACTAAACTAACTGATAGGTATTTAAATAATTATATATGAGCTTAGAACCGTGGTTCTCAGTCTTGGCTGTACCTAAAACACCTAGGGAATCTTTAAAAATGCCACATAAATGTTACACCTCAGTCCAATTTAAACTGGAATCTTAGGGGTTGCATCAGGCATCCTTACATAATAATAGTTCATTAGCAGAGAAATGCCACATGCCCATACAGAATTGAAACAAGATACAGAATTCCACATCAAACTCTGAGAAACCTTCATAGTTGAGATGAATTTAAAGCTTTATCTTGATTCAAGGAAACAATAAGAAAGAGAGTGGCAGATACTCAACACAAAAGCCTGGAGTCAGAAAAGTACAAAATATTTTGAAATTTAAAAAAATTACCTGATTGGAATTCAGTGTTTATAGGACTAAGAGAAAAAAGACCAGATTGTAAGGGAGTATTTAATGTTCAACTATGGAGTCTGGACTGAAAATTGTAAGAACTAATAAATAGCTTTTAAAACATCAGTAAAGTAACAGTTTAAGGAGGATAAATTACCTGATACTTTATTTTGAGTAGTTAAAAGCACCCAGACAGACTAGTTAATAAATATTCATACTCATTTATACATCCTACCTTAACATTTTTTTTTTTAAATGCCAAGGCTCATAAACAAATTTTAAAAGGGGAGAGTAGAGTGGTGATAAGCTTTACTAGTTTGACCTTTTGAAAACAAGAAAATGTTTAAATTTTAACCTAAAAATTTTTTTAATAAAATGAACATACAATGGCAGTTGGCCAACTAAAGAATGGACTATCCTTAAGGTATGATTTGAGTCAAATGAAATTATTTACATGAAATATAAAAGCTTAATCCCTTCCCTCCTATTCTTATTACTGATAAAGAGATACTGGCATAGCTCTTAAGCTATTCTTAGCATGAAACTTAGTACATTGGCATTATACTGAAGTCATCTCAATTTGGTATAGAAACTCAGGTACCAAAATATCAGAATAAGAAAGCAGTGTTTTATTAAAAATTACCACACAGCATTCCAAATTTTACATGTCATATTTTAGAAGCATTGTTTTCTTGCAAATTTTATTTTTGAAAAAATATTGTCGAAAATGTCAAGTATATACAAAAATGTAACAGTATAATGAAAGACAGTATAATAAAATCTCATGAACCCATAACCCTTCATCAGCTTCAACAACAATCAGCATTCTGCTCATGTTATTTCAACTACTTCCCTTCTTTCTTCTGAAATATTTTTTTTTTTTTTTTTTTTTTGAGACAGAGCCTCAAGCTGTCCCCCTGGGTAGAGTGCCATGGCATTACAGCTCACAGCAACCTCCAACTCCTGGGCTCAAGCGAGTCTCCTGCCTCCGCCTCCCAAGTAGCTGGGACCACAGGCGCCCGCCACAACGCCCGGCTATTTTTTGGTTGCAGCCGTCATTGTTGTTTGGCGGGAGAGGGCTAGGGGCATGGCAACAGACCTGCTGAGAGAAACTTTGGCCTTCCACACAGGCGCCGAGCCTCTTCTGAAATATTTTAAAGCAAATCTCAGACATGGTTATAAATAGACACATTAAAAGAGACTGTCTTCATTTTCCTTCTTAATAAATTTTTCCCTTTTAAATAAATGGCTCTAACTAAAACCCTGCAGTCATTCTTGATTCATCTTTCTCCCATATACCAGAGCTAATCTGTATAGATTTTGAACCTCCCCTGCTACCACTGCCACCTTTGGCTGTCCTGCCATAATAGTTCCCTAACTGGTCTCCCTAGTAGCCCCATACTGTAACCACAGTCTTTGTACTTGTTTCCTCTGCCTGAAAAGCTATTCTTTTTCAGAATAAAAAAATAAACATACACACACAAACTGAGGCTCTGTCACTTCATTAAGGTCTATTTGAATCCTGTCAAGGCTCATCCCCTCTTACCTATACAAATGGCAACCACCATCCCTACCATTACCCTATTCCTCTGGCCATTTTTTTCTTCACTACTTGATGTATTTACAAGCTTGTTTTCAGAGTCAAGAATACTGACAGGCAGATGTAGAGTGGATATTACATATTTAAGACTGAAAAGAAAACTATTTGATAGCTAACAGATTGGGACAGAATTTAAAAACTTCTTCCTAAAGAATCTAAAACAATAAGTAATTAAAATTCATTTGGGAAGTGCATCTTTTGAGGGCTTTGCTAGATTCAGTTTTTTAAATTAAGTCTATCAACGATTTAAATCAGGGTAAATTCTAGTATATGTCCTCTTTAAGCAGTGTGGGTTATGTACCTGAAGAATATCTAACTGTACTATTTAAAAGAGTAGGTTTATATAGTGGTAAACCTGCAATAAGCATCTAGAATTATAGGTAGTCAGCATTAAAACAAAAATGCCAAAGGCTCTGGTCCTCTAATATTAAGTTTAAAAGTCAATATTAAGTTTAAAAGAAGTGTCTCACAAATTAATTCATTTCAGAACCTCAATCATTGATTCTTCTTGTCCCTTGTTTGTGAACTATTAGAAACAGGCTTACTTGGATGAAAAAATTATTCTACCTGAAAAGATTCAATGTCTTTGCAATTTACCTTATATTTTAGGGGAGAAGGTGAAGAAAAGGGGTAAGGTAGCTAGCTTATCGCTCACCATTCAGATTTTAGAACTTGGAAACCAAAATCTAGAAGGAATTTAGTTGCTTCTTGTCTCTTAAGTGGAATTTGCTACTGGTATTAAAATGTTCAGATTGTATGAGATCTTCAAGGTTTCTCTAGGCCACAACAGACTATTACTCTACATACGTTTATCCGTACCTTAAACCTGCAAAACTTATCCTGGAAGAAAAAGCAGCTTGCAGTAGCAGGTCAGACAGCACCTAGTTATTTACTAGCTGTGCAAGTTAAGCAAGTTACTAAACTCTGTGAGGCTGCTTCGTCATGTTAAAAGAGGGTTAATAACATCTATCTGGCAAATTTACCCAAAGGACTAAAGATAACAAGTCAAATGCATAACAAAATGCTTGACACAGTTTTTTTCACAATATAGGCAGTTATTACTTTGCTTTGGTTCCATCATTTTTTCCCCAAGGGTACTGCAACATAGGATCAACTGTGCCAATAAAATTGGGGCAAAGGAAACAAGGAAAACAGTAAAGACTTTTCAGTGCCCATGTGGTACGCATATTAGAAAATTGTTTTTGTTTTCTCCTTACAAGAAAATGTTGTTGCTACTGTGTCTATGTCATTAAACACCAGATTGTTTATAACCCACGTTGTGAAATTTACATCTGTTCATAGATTTAACTGAGTTGGCATAAAGTGGGTGATGACGGTAGGAAACTGTTCAAGTTCCCAATACTGACACTTCCTTGATCGCACAATACGAAGAGGTGGTCAACTTTTCCCTTTGAAGTGTGTATGTGAAACATGACCACGGCCCTAACAACACGATTCTTCTATCTCTCCTTTCTCTGTAGCCTGTGCTTCTCACTTTGAAAACGAGCGAGAACCCTCTACTCCAGGTTTCCAGTGGCCTTGGTAAAGTTCGAACACCAACTGACATTGCCATTTCCCCCTGGGACTGCCAAGCCCAGCGACAGTCTTTTCAGGGAGAGAGAGGGCTGGAGGGAACTGCTGGCGGCTCTCTGGGTTGAGGAGCAGGAAAAGGAAACTCCCTTCTTGGACTCCGAGGGGAGCAGGAGAGAGACCAAAGGAAAGGGTGGGGGTGGCGCACCAATGGCTCGGGTTTCGGTTACCCCGCCGGCCTCGGAAGGCCTCCGCCGGCCCCGGGATGGGCATCACTCCTGCGCTGGCGTAGTGGAACCAGAACAGCCGACAGCGCAGCACCTCGGCCAGATGGCCAACCCGGCCAGAGGGCGAACTCAAGGTGTCCTCCAGGGGCAGGAGGAAGCTCCCAGCCCGGTCCCCACCCAGTCTCGATTCCCGGGGAGCGGCAGCTGGGGGGGAACGGGGCAGAAAACCCCCGCCGGGCGCGGAAGGGCCCCGGGCCGCGCCCATCACCCAAGCCTCTGGCCGCAGCAGGCCCACCGGGCGGTCAGCGCGGCCGGGGGGCGCCGCCGATCCGGACTGGGCAGCCCCTGGCTGGTTCTCCCCGGGCGCCGCCACCCGTCTCCCCCACCGCGGTACCTGCACGGCGCGACTGAGGAAGGTGCCTGCGTCGGCCGCCAGCTTCTTCACGTTGAAGTCCATGATGTTCATCCTGGGCAGCAGCCAGGCGGAGCCGCCGGCTGACCTAGCCGGGAGGCGGGGGCTACGCGGCGGGGCAGACGTGGTAGGTGGAGGGAGGCGGCGCCAGCTCCACCGCCTCAGCTGTCGTTTCCGTGAGGGGGGGGGTGGGGACGAGGGACGAGAGGGAGGGGCCCGGAGCAGACCGCGCCCCGGCGGCGGCCGCGGCCCAGAAGCTGGGTTGGGCGGGCCGGAGTGAGGCGGCTGGCGGCTGCGCTGGCCGCGGCGGGGAAGCCCGGAGGCCGACCCCGACCCTGCGGTGCGGAGCCGGGTTTCCCCCCGGAGGATGCGAACGCCAGCCGCGGGTCGGAGCGTTTTATCGAAGTTCTCGCGGGAACAGCGCCCCCTGGAGGACGGCGGCGCCCCAGGGCACGTCGGGAGCTCCGCCCGGCTCCGGCAGAGCGTGCTGCGAGGGGCGCGGCGGGGTCGCGGGGTCGCAGCTGGCGGCGCAGTTGCAGTTAACCTCTGAGAGTCCAGAGTGGAGACAACCCACGTCTAGGTTTTTGTTTTAAGAGGAAATATGTAAGCTAACGGCATCCATGAAATTAGAACCAACAGGCCCTGGTCATCTTGTAGCACACGTGCGCCACGCTGGTCCCTGAAGCCTGGATGGCGTTCAGCTAATGTTTGTGGAATAGTGTTGAATTTATTGTCGCATTGGAGCCCGTTGTTCATTCATTCAGCATCGTTGAATACCCACCGAGTGCCAGGCCCTGATTCAGGCGCAGTAGATAACACCTGAATAACACATTGTCCTGCCCTCAAGCTCAGGTGTTTTGACAGCCTTTGAGGACTTCACCACTCCCACCAGTGGCTCTGTAACTATTAATATTTGCTGCTGCAAGGACTTTGTGACTACTTTAAAGCGGCAGGCAAAGGCTGGATTACAAATCAACACCAGGTGTCTGCAAAGCCCGGTGCTGGTGACACAAGTGCCAAGGTGGAGGACAGAGAAGTATGGTGAGTGCGTTAGGAAAGCTCTTACCAATTTAGCATGACCGACTTTAATAACAAATGATAATATGATGTAGAATCTGTTAAAATATCTGTCATTCAAGTAACTTCTTAAGCAAAGGAAGTTAGGACGGGTACAAGCATGGAAGGAGGCACATTGTTATTTCAAGAATAAGACCAAGCTCTATGTATTATTTTGTGTGGTTGTGTCCCTTTGATGCAATAGGGTTGGGAAAATGCAGGCCCAGCAGGCAAGGACATAAACTCACATTCACAGATGCAACAGCTGTAGTTAAAGGTTTCAAGATGAGTGCAGTAAAAACATTATAAGGACAAACAACACAAATATTTTTGTGTTTTTTTTTCTTTGTTGTGGTGACAGGAACAGCCACCTCTTTCTAAGGTAACTCCAATGTAATGGAATCTCCCAGCTATGAAATACTCTACATTGTGGTCACTTCAATTTATTCTTCCAGAAACATGGAAAAGGAAAAATGTGATCAAAAATCCTGTCCCATGTATTGTCTATTTTAAATTTTTATGTGGGAAAGCACCCTCTTACAGAGTTCTGTCTTTAAAACAGGTGTATTTGTCATAGCGTAAAGCAAATCTCTACAAAAGGATCACACAACCTTGTCCACCATTAGGCGAAAGCACCCTGGATCTTTTTCCTGAAGTGTTTCTTCTCGAACTCAGAAAACAATTCTTTTTTAGTCTTCCGTAGCTGTAATCCTGCTTGCCACTCTCTTAAGGATGCATACCTCATTCTCATATCCTTTATTCTTAGCTTTGGATACTTCTTATAGAGAAAGTATAAATCATCATGCTGTTTGGCAGGAGCCTCTTCAACAGAATTTCCTTATTTCTGTCTCCTATCCTCTCCACATTCCTTCCCCCATTATTGTCAAATGTTTCAGAGGAAGAGGTGTTCAGGTGTTCTGAGTAGAGCCACTGTTCTCTTCACCTTGGCCGCCTATTGGCATCAGCTGGAGTGTTTAAGTGACCACTGATGCCTGGATCAATTCCCAGAGCATGGACTAGGCACTGGGATGTTTAGAAGTTCCCTCGGGTAATTCTAACGTGTGACCAAGGTGGAAAATGAACCCATCATTCTCTAGAACTTGCTCCACCTGTCTCTACCCTTTACCTACAGATAGATTACATTTCTCTTACCAGATGTGAATCCCTTAAAAGCAGCAACCATTTTCTAATCATTTTTATATTGTTATGGTCTATTATGCCTGGCATCATATAGATTCTCAAATAATTTTTTAAATGAGTACAGTGGTCAAGTCAAGATGCATACAATTTTAGGATCTTTTGTGATTCACCCCCAACCTAAATTTCCAACTACGTTTTCACCCTCAGACGCAATATTTCTAGTGGTGAGTTTGTTGTAGATTGGATGTTCCAGAAGCATCTCCTGTTCTTGGGTTTCCTACACTGGTAAATTTAATCATATGCATTGAAATCACCTAAGCCAGAAATCTGAGTCCCCTTTGATTTATTTCCTCTTATTTCCCAACTCCATTTGATACAGTCTTGGTATTTTCTTCTCTGAAATATTTCTTTCTTTTTTTTTTACTTCTTCCTCCTGTTGTGTTCTCTTGTCCCCCATGTAGCTGGGATCACAAGGTCCGGCTGTCTTGTTGTTGTTGTAGAGACAAGGTCTCACTCCGCCTCACTCTGCCTTAGGCGAGTCTTCAGCTGGTCTTGAACCTCTGAGCACAGGTGATCCACCCGCCTTGGTCTCCCACAGCGCTGGGGCAACAGGTGTGAGCCACCACACCCGACCTGAAATATTTCTTATCTGTATCCTCTTCTTAAAATTTTTGTTAATTCGAAATAATTTCAGACTAACAAAAAAGTTGCAAGAATAGTCCAAAAACTTCTGTATACAGTTTGCCTAGAAAACGCACTCAAGCTTTGCCAGTTATTCCAATACTGTCTTTATAGCAAAAGCGTGCACGTCAAGATCACATGTGGTACCAAGTTGGCATCTTGCTCAGTCCTTCAGTCTGAAACAGTTCTTCAGACTTTTTCTTGACATTCTCCCTTCCCCTTTAGAGTTAACCACTATTCCTAAATCAGTATGATTACTTTCTATTATATTTTGTATTGTCATTGGATTTATATGTGTCTATAAATGGTACTAGCGTATTACGTTTTTAAACTGCATAAATGGGATTGTATAGCCTTTTGCCAGTAAAGGTCTACTACTTTTATTGTGTCTGATGACTCGTTCTTTGTGGATTGTTTCCTTCTCTGTCTCATAGCTTATAGCTTTGGTTTTTTTTTTTTTTTTAAAGGACTCATTTTTGGTGATCTTTAAAAAAATATTTTGTCAGAGATCCATGGTAATCATAGGCCAGTGAGTAATTTTTATATGAATTTCTTTCTTGGAAACCCAAATTAATGGATGGCATATCTATCAATGATTGGGATTCTCAGAGATCTTTTCTCTCCCTTCAGAGTTATTCTGTGACAGAAAAGCTTCTTTGTCATCTCACTGTACCAGGGGGGTGGGTTTTGTTTAGTTTATTCTTTCTTTGAGGTACAGAACTTAATGGGTTTTTAATTTTTCTGTGTATGAGGGCAAGAAGTGAGGGAGGGTGCTCATAATTACTGATTTCTGCTTGGCCCCAGGTTTTATTTGTTTACTTTGTTTTTTTAAAAAACAATCATTTTAAAGTGATAAAAAATGTGTATATACTGTATTGTGTATAACGTGATGTTTTGGAATATGTATACATTGTAGAATGGCTAAATTGAGTTAATTAATATACTCGTTACTTCACATGTAATTTTTGTGGTGAGAACACTTAAAACTTAATCTCTTAGTGATTTTTCAAGAATGTGTTACCTGTTTTACAATAGATCGTTTGAATTTATTCTTATTTAACCACAATTTTGTACCCTTTGACCAAAATCACCCATTCCTCTCTGCCCCCACTTACCTCCACCCCCGTTACCCCCCATTCTGCTCTGCTCCTGTGAGTTCCACTATTTTAGATTCCACATATAGGTGAGATATTCTAGCATTTGTTTTTCCGCATCTGGCTTGATTCCCTTAATGTAATGTCCTCCAGATTCACCCATGTTGTTACAAATGCCAGGCTTTCCAACTTTTTCTTCTTTTTTCTTTTTACTGTGATGTCTATAGGCTGGATTTGAATTTCTGGGCTCAAAGGGTCCACCTGCCTTAGACTCTCAAGTAGATAGGACTGCAGGTGCTCACCATACCTGCCCCCCCCCCCCTTTTTGAGGCTGAATAGTATTCTATTGTATATATATACCAATTTTCTTTATTCATTAACATGTGGATTTAAAGATTTAAACACCTTGCTCATTCAATCCTGTCCCCACTCCAGATAGGGTCATATTGTGTGCTCAAGGCTCTGATGTCTAATTTCTTCTTTATTTCTCTCATCTGGGTATTTCTCTGTCCTTTTTCTGTAAGGTTAAACTATACATTAATTTTTTTTTTCCTGCATTTTACCCAGCATTTCTAAGTGTTTGTAATGGAAAAGTTTTCATGTTGTCTAGTCTGCCTGTATTGGTTAAGGATTGATTGTGTTCATCTCAATTAACAGCAACATGGCTGCAGTGACTTACCCAAATAGGGATTTATTTACTCACCTATCAAGTTCAGAGGTAGGCAATTTTCTTTGTTTTATTTTAGCCATTCTTAGCATGTAGCTTTCATCCTACTATCTCAGGATAGCTCCTGTACCTCTAGGCATCACACGTTTTCAAGGAAAATAAAGGATGAAGGGTGAATCCTGCTTTGTCTTTTTTAAGTGAAGAAAATCGTTTTTCGTAAGCTCCACCGAGCAAACCTTTAATTACATCTCTTTAACTAGAACTGGGTCATTTATTAATAGTTCCCCACAAATGCAATGGAGTGGTAAATGCAATTTGCCCTGTTAAAAAATAGTCTTATTTTCTTAACAACAAATACTGTCATTCTGAACAAAATGGAGCTTCTGTTAAGAAAGAGACAATAGTTACAGGGTAAGCAACTGTCAATACCCGCCATGCTGCTATAGGGCAAGACTTGAAAGTTTCCCATTTTCACTGAACCTTCCTTTCAGTTTTACGTTGGTAAATAGGGCCAGCTACGTAATTTATGTGGACCAGTGCATAATGAAAGTTTTTTTTTGTTG